TCATTAGAGCATCTTAACGAAATTAATCAGTTAAGTTAACAGTCTGAGCATAGTCATTAGTAATTGTTTATATTATTTTCAGTTTGATCAGGCATCAGCACTACCGTTCAGTTCAGCAATTCAGGTGGGGACTCAGACTAAGTACTACATTGATTATAATTACGGTACCATGTTTGAGGTATGTATTTCAGTTGAGGTATCCGCTCGGAATGGTCGCCGGTCCATTCAGGGTTCTAGTGGCCCTAGTCTGCCTACTAGAGTGTGCACATGGTGTCCGGCTTTGCCGGCAGATGAGGTAACGGTCAGGGTCACGTTTGCGTGACGATTTCAGATTCATGTTCATGTTATTACCGGCTTGAGGTTGAGGTTGAGGTTATGTATATCCTGATATCATGATGTTATTATTATTTTCAATGTTACATTAGTATGAGTTTCCACGGAGCACAGTGCCATAGTGCTCATATCCCACTTTTATCATGTTTTTCAGGTCAGGACGTCGGGCCGGGAGCATGAGCTGACGAAGGCTTCAGGACATTTATATTTTTGACGGTATAATTATTATGATGACTTACGCTTCCGCTAATGATGTTTTGTCGACTTGTGACGATGTTTTTGAGGTCTTTTGACGTACTCATATTTTGACGAACTTGTCTTTCGACGAACTTTTGGCAACTTATGTTTTCAGTAACCGGACGATTTTATTAAAATTAAAATAACGGTTTCCAAATTAAGTTACGATTTTAAGGTAGCACCTCTAATCAGTTTTCGCAAAGTAAAAAGGTTTTATTTTTAAATAACTTTGCAAATTTTCGCACTCTGATTTAACGATAAGGAGGGATGTTACATTATATCTTGTTATTCTTTGTCAATATCATTAATTGACAATGAAAATGATGTCTATTTTTTAAATTATCGGTCGTCTTTGTTTTCCCTAATTTTTTTTTCCTAGCCTGGGTTTCAAGATGGGACATTCCGTGTTTCATTAAGAGATACAAGTCCAACTAAACCTATCATCATTATCTTTGCCTTAGCCCCAGTATTTTCTTACTTATATTTTCTACCATTAGGAAATTTAATTTAAGATGATGTCATGGCTTAATACCCTTTTTAATTTAGTTTATTGTAGGAACTGCTTGCCATTAACCTAGCTGCATTACAAAGTTGTGTTTATTATATATTAAAGACAATTTATGATGGGGAAAATGGTTGCTACGACTTTTGTTCATTCTATATTAACGAGTTACTGAGTATGAGTTTTGGCAATTTTAATTTGTTTTATTGAAGTTTTGAAATTCATTTGAAGTTTCTGAAATTCATTTGTCGAGGGATTGGGACAAATGAAGCAATAAATTATTTCACACTCGGAACTGATAAATTGCATCTCTGTAGTTGGATTGGACTAGACTGCTTATATTCTTTGCAGCATACACTATTACTTGTACGTACTGCAAAAAAGGTAAGTGAGGTTGGGGAGCTTCTCTTTTATGTTGGTATTAAAGGTAATCATCCGATTTTCTTAATTTTATTCATAATTTCCATTTGTGGCCGGAAGATGTGGTTTTGTGTTTATCTAATGTTACACTACTGAGGGGAGAAAATGTGCCTCTTGAGATGAAATTGATGGTTGTTTGAGACCTTAGATACATGGAAAAGGATTCCCATACCTCCCAGGGCCATTATACAAAGAAAGGTAAGAAAAATATTATATGTACATTTTTTTTTTGGTGTTTTGCTTTAAAAAAAAAACTGGACATTGAATGTCAAATCAAAATTACTCTTCTAGATTCATATAAAAATATATGGAACTTCTTTTCGTAAGAGGCGTTTCGGTCCATGTATAAAATGTACCTGCTATGATACTTGTAGCATTCTCTTTTATCATTTCATTTTATACCTACTCGGCAATATGAAGTACTTGGATATCATTCGCAGGTCTCAGAGGTCCCAAAGGCTGATGTTGAAGAGTTTGAGGCAAAAAACAAAGGCTTGGATTCTGAGAAAAAATATTTGCTTGAGTCGTATACAGAATTTGAAGAGCAACATGGAGAAGTATTTTTTGATGGGTATGAATCATAATACAAGTAGCACATCAATAGAAAGTTATTAAGCCGGTATACTAATATAAAGTATTTGCGTTTTAAAACAAAGTACGTGCATTTAACTTAATCCAAATTTTTACTTGATTATTGACTAAACTCGGGCTGACTGTGCGTGCACAGTCGAGTGCCCACTAGTATATATATATATATATATATATATATATATATATATATATATATGAAACGTGAAGCATACGTATCTTATTCCTCTTAATTAAATATTTAAAAGATGTGTTATTATTATAAGATTTGTTGACTGTATACTTCTTATTCCTATGATAAACATGTAACACCCCGCTTCTTGATATACATCAGAGTGCGCGATTTTTTGCAAATTTACTGAAAACTTAAATAAAATGCTTATTTTTGCGAAAACTGATCGGGATGCTACCGTGAAAAACTTGATTTTCTGAAAACCGTTAAAATTTTTAAACTGATAAATAAAAACGGTCATAATGTCTTATCCGACAAACATCGGAACAAGTCTAATAAAAGTACTGAAAAGATTTAGCGGAAGTCTAGCGTGGCAAAAACATAAAGGTTCGATAATAAGTTCTGAAAAGTTTTAGCATCCAACATCAAGTACAGAAATCATAAATGTCCTGAACAGCTCGCCCGCTCACTCCTCATCACCGACCCTGCGACCTGAAAAACATGATAGATGTGGGGCGTGAGCACTAAGACACTGTGCTCCGCAGAAACTCATGCTAATGTACAACATCGTAAATAATAACATGATCATGAACTAAGTATATACAACTGAACTGAAACTGATATCAGGTAACTGATAAAAACCGGTCTGATCTCGCGACCGAAGTCACGTAACTGATAACTGAATCTCGCGACCGAAGTCACGTAACTGATAACTGAATCTCGCGACCGAAGTCACGCCTGAACTGAACCTGAACATCTGCGGGCAAAGCCGGACGCCATGTGCACACTCTAGTGGGCAGACTAGGGCCACTAGAACCCAGAATGGACCGACGACCATTCCGAGCGGACCTGAATATACATACCTCGACCAT